CCCGCTGAAACTTACATCTAGGCTCGAGTCTTTCTAATCGCAAACCAAAAAAATAATTTATAAAGGTGAAATGAAAAGATAAACCACGGAAGCTGACCCCAATACACATGGATGACCATCAATCGTAGTGATCTGTTCGCATGTGCGTGCTCGAGCAATACCTACATAAACGTTCGTTTCGGGACCTACTCGCGACCTACCCACGACCGCGATCGCGATCTACTAAATTCGAGAAATCGAAGAATAAAACCAGAGACAAGTGGCATACTCCATTTGTACCAATTTTACTGTCGATTTTTCAAATTAGATTTCCAAAAACAGGTTGGACACGCGAAAAGGAAACACGCGACCAAAGACTGTGCCAACCTGCCCGGCCCTACCTACTTATAATTAAACACAGGCATACCAGAAAGTAAGCTACCTATCCTAACCAATCGCCCTATATTTAAAAAATGGCAAAACAGGCACACCAACACATTCACTCCACGGTTCTCACACATACCACTCGGGCGCAGACCTAAACTAGAGAGGACGTCCCGGGATTCCTCCGACACCCGAGTTTAACATACAACTTTTACACACTCTAATTTACGTACCATTTTCCTGAAATCGACTGACAATGGCTAGCGATCATTGCGTAAAACGTGACTAAAACACGTTTCAAAGCATATGTGAGATATTAATAACTGAGAAAGATTGTATAACTATTAATATAATTATAGTGTATTTAATAGATATTATTATAATAAATTCATACTTCAAATTAATGCGTAAATCTTTTAAATATTTGTAACGAATAGAATAATAGAAACGACGCAATTCTGCATCCTAACCACACACACACATTCGGAAAATGCGTCGTGCACGATACACTAACAGACTGTCAGTCGCTAAGAAATTTTTTATAAAATTACAAACTATGGTCATCGTGCCCAATGTCTTTCACCCATCCAAGTAGCACGTGAATGAGATCTTGACAATGAACACGGAAAGGGTTAAACCTGAAAATCCTGAACTAGAAAAATAATTAGTTTATGTAATTTGTATCTAACGGACTATTGCATTATTTTATTTCAAACTGAAACTATGATTCTACTCTTTTAGAAATTATTGAAATTGCAAGAGAATAAATGAACAAGACTTGAATTTGTTAAAAAAGATATTACGAACAATCTAACAATTGAGTCAAACAATCAAAATCAAACAATTGACTTCAAATTAAATATTAGTAGAAATACCCTCAGGCGACTTCTTCATCAAAGCATATTTTCGAAAATGCGAAAACAGTGTTCAAACTTGTTGCTTTGATTCAAACAATCTACCTGTCGCGAAGTGTTTTCTTGCACATAAAATTTCATACATTTTTCTACGGAAAGAATTCTAGTTTATTATACACTATTTCAAATTGTGCTGAAGTTCATAATTATAAAATTCAATTAATTAAATCATTTAATACTATAAAAGGGAAGATGAAGTTGAATCTTATTAAATATAAAAAAAATATATTAATCAGTAATAACTGCATCTTTCATAGCAATGAAGTCGGAAGGTATCCGTCTTCTCTACTACGAAATGCTCGAATACGAAATCATTTGAATAATAATTATTTATAATTTATCAATATTCATATGAATATTCTGCTTTTGCAAATATTTATATTGAATATATTTTGATTTTATATTTAATTACTATAAATGTATATATTCTAATTATTAAAATCGCGATGTGCAAGATCTCTATCCTGATCTAAGACATAAAAACCTGAAAAAAATGTTACTACTCACGGATATAAAAATTATCCTTGGTCACTATGCTCATCAAAAATTCTACGTATACAACCAGTCACTTGTGCCGATTCGGACCTTTCGTCCTACGACATGATTGAGTGACCGGAGGAACATAAATGCATGCGACTCACGCGACAGATGCGAAGAACGTTATCATCAATGCTGCACTAGACCAGGAAAAGTTATCGTGAAGATCTTCATCAAGTAGATACCCATAGTGGAAGTAAATGCCGTGAAAAATTTCCTGAAAAACATAAAATATTTTGTTTCTGAAGACACAGTGTTATTTATGAAAATTTAAATTTTAATAATGATAAAAATTCTGACTAATAATTTGAAGTGCTTTTATTTTATAATTATAATTTTATATTCGACTTCAATAGAAAGAAAACTACAGAAATAAAATTTAAATACAACATGCTAAAGTACTTACATTTTTAACTCTTAAAGTAGATAAGATTCTTAGAGAATTAGGGGAAGTGGAGACTAGAAGATCTGTAACAAAACATTAAATATTAGAATTTGTATTTAAAATCAATGCAAAATTTAAAGTTAGAGATAATGAAAGATTCTTACATTCTTGTCTTTGGAGTCACTGTTGGATTTTCCCCAAAATACACCAAAAAGTTAATGCTGTGAAACGTCTGTAACAAAACATCAAACATTATACTTTGCCAAATTTGAAACATTAAATGAGTAAATTGAAATACAATGTATAAAATTACTTACGATCTTGATCTCCTGGAGAAACTTTATCCTCTTGAGCACTGACTCTAATATACCAAAAACGAATGTTGAATAAGAAAAAATATAAAAAAAGAAAAATAAAAGACTATCAACGCGCACGTTTAAGTAACAATCGACGAATTTCGCGAATTATAATTTAATTTAATGAGAGCCATTTTGCTCAGAATTTATTTGTTAGAGAGCTATTTTTGCAACCAAGGTATAACCTGCACAAAAAAAAATCAAATTAAATACGTACATTCTTAATAAATTATTGTTGAATTTAATATAAGAATTGTTAAGAATTACGCAATATGAAGTTAAAGAATCAACAAATAAGTAGAAAATGTTATAACAGAAGTGTGTATAGGCATATAATACAATACATGCACATATATATATATATGTGTGTATGTGTGACAATAAGTTAATCAATTACAAGGTTACAATATTTGTATTGGTTTGAAATTAAATTTTGGTATAAAATTATAAATAATTTCAGCATAGTACATTCTGTTTTAACGTTTATATGCTATTATTTCTTCAATTATTGAAAATTATGTGTAATAATTGTTTGGTTAAATCTCACCTTGAGTTGAACCCAAAAATCCACGTTTTATCTTAAAAATCCACAATACAAACGCAAATCTAACAACTATTGATTTAAATTTTTATCTAAGAACTTCTGAATAACACTTCTTTCTGGATGATTCTTCTGGATAATATTTTCTCCTTTCTCCGCCATGTTTCCCGTTTAAAAATCGATCATGAGAAATATCGATTATTTCAAGAATCGTAGGAAGTATATTGCATATTTCACCGTTGGAGCGCTGTAATCACGCATTTCGCATGCAACGATACTTCGGAATAAGAAATAAAAGACTCTGGTCTACATCAAATGTACGTAAGTCCTATTAATGTAATAAACATAAATTATAAAATAACTGAAGTACGAATATAACATAACGAAGTAGTCTTCATAACTAAATGTGACATTATTTAATTTCATACGAAAATGCGCGCAATAATTTTAACTTTAGTAATGATCACAGCGCCAATGAGGTGGCGAAATTTCGTAATTATATATTGTATATCTCTAATCGATATTTCTCGTAATCGATCTAATCAATCTAATATTGTGACGTAACGTAAAACCGTCAGTTTTAGGCGGGAACGTGACAAGAAACGTAGCAAGAAGCAGCTTATCCAGAAATTGTCGAATAAAGATTACCGAGGTAAGACTTGTTTTTATATTATGGAATACATCTACGATTTAAAACAGTGAGCATTATCTAAAAAATTGTTACATGTATTCAATCATGAGCGTGATTTGTTACAGACATTTCCAATCGGATTTAACGATTTCTATTTAATGATACGTGCAATGATTTTCTCTGGACCACGATTACATACGTCGTTTTTCGCATCTAATTGTAAGTTGCATGTATTTTTATTCTTCATATTTAATTGTGATTATTTAAATTATCACGAATAAGAGTAAAAATAAATTTATTAATATCAAACGTGAACCGAACGCTTATATTGCCATATTGAATCAAAAGGGCATATCTGCAATTTTTCCTCAAATTAAGTCCTTAATTCAGTAGCCCTCAAGGAACAGAAAAATAGGTTATCTAAACGTATATATAAGAAAATCTTATTTACATTAACTCTGAAGATATAGTGGTTTATATTTTGCCTGATTGTTAAATTTTTTCTAAAGTCGTTTGTCAAACTACTTTCTGACTGGATACGTCTATTGAATTAACATGACAGTATACAGTTGGGATTTACATTAAAATTGAAAAATATTGATATGTAAATATAGATGTGACATTTCATGGAAGTTCATGTCACATGTCCTGAAATACCGACAGTGTGAAAACGAGATATATCTCTTCTATGATCTGATCTTTCAGTCATCAGTAATGCTGACTTGATTAAAATATCATAGAAATGTATTAGTGACTCGATTATTACAAATGATTAATTAAAAATTTTAAATAGTACTTAGAAATGTTATAGAAGAGAATTAATTGTTTAATTCTTAGAAATAAATCATTAGAAACATCAGATAATGTTTAAACAATTAGAATATTCAGAAATATTCAGAAATTATTTAAAGTTTCATACTTACAGAACATTTAACTCTAAACTTGAAGTTGAAATAGAATTTCTTCAGTAGGAAAAAAAAATTTACATATTATTTCTTCATATAATATTTTATCAGTACTTCATGTTATTTCTTCATATAATATTTTATCAGTTTCTTGGTTTTTCTCTTACTTAATTTATGTTTTATATATTTATGTTTTATATATGTATTTTCGATTTTAAATGATATTTTAACATTGTATATATAATTAATATGTAAAATGTACAAAAATATTTATTCTTCGTGCATTGATTTATTTAATGTTATGTATTTAAAACACCTAAGACAATATTCTTGTAAGGATATCGTTCGTATACTCCAATACTTCCAGCGAGGGTAGCAAGGGTTTTTGTTTTATTATAACATCCAAGAATACACTATAATTGGCAAAGCATATTTACAAAGCGTATAATGAATATACTAATATTACTTTGGTAAAACTTAAAATACAATTATTTTTTTAATCAATTCAATAACATAGAGCCTTTATTGCAAAAATGGAAGATTAAAATAATTCTGAACTTTGTACTACATGATTTTCTTGATCGCATTGAAAATTTCCGTAGTTTTAACTGCAAAAGTAAATGGTATTTTAATTTCACCATATCATATCAGTTTCGGATTTCGTTCGAGCCAAAGGATTTAGACATAAGCTTTTAAGAACTTGCACAGCCTCCTCTCCATCGTCCCTCGCGTACAAAGTTTGTCGTTTGACGCTTCCAGTTCCGAACGATTTTCTACGAAAGCTACCAGTCAGAGTATTTTCTTTGTCTGTTCTTCCATGCGATCTCCCCTTTCGTTTCGTAGTACTTTTCGATGAAAATGTACCAATTCTCTTAGCTTTGAACGAAGGTCTGCGTCTCCTCTTCTTTCGAACTTCATCCATTCCTGGTTCCAAAGAAACTAACGATTTTATCGATGGATAATCTATTTTCTTATCAAACTCATTCAAATCTTGTGGTCGATTCTTTCTAGAAATACTGTGATTCGTTGGCATTTTTCTCTTCGGATGAGTTCGATGACGAAAATTGATGGAAGAACGCTGTCCTTTAAAAATTGGTCTTAATGTTCCTAAAACCCTACCTTTGACTCTCAGAGGTTCCAATAATTCATGATCGTGCCAGGAAGCAACTACAGGCAAGCCACATGCATTATGCATGCCTACTAATGGTACACCAATGGCTCGGTGCTTCTTTATTTCAGGAAACACTTGATACGTGTCGAAAGTTTCCCAGTTACGACTACTACGTTTGGCATTTTCCTCGTACGCCGATATCTTTTGACCAACGTGTCCACGTTCCAGATCAATGGTCCCCCATTTACTTCTCACTCGTGCCTCATTTTTTGAACGCTTTGAACCTTCGTTCTCCATCGTTTCTTTATTAGATTGTTCCTCGATTTTCGTATCTTTCGATCTTCGGCGAGCAGCATTCGATTTTTGGAAGGAAGATTTGTGAAAATAGTTACCGAAGTCGGTGAAGTCCTGATCGTTCTTTCGCATGGAAACATTATGATCGCTTCTGGCCATCCTCCTGTCTAACGTTTTTAACTTCGAATTGACTTTCCGGTGTCCACTTTGAACTTCACACTGGTAGTCGCAAGAGTGACAGGATCTCCTAGATGGATTCAAGGTTTCCGAACGTTTCGAAGTCGCGACTGATTGTCGAATTTGAGGTTCGATCTCGTTTTGCGGTGAAGACACGGTCTTGTATTTCGTTACGTAAAAACTTTTGTCAGGCTCGGATATCGAAGATTCAAATTGGAGTTGAGGTGCCTCCGATCGTCTAAGTGTACCAATATTGTGCGCTATCGAAGCTTGATAATTTTTTATCGGAATACTCCGAACGGTGCCGCTACTGTTGCGAGATTTCGACTTAGACCCGTTCTTTTTGTCGTCGCGAATTTTTTCCAGATCGTTCTTTAACTTGGGACAACTTTTGAGAAAGTAGTCTGGCACGACGTCTATCGCGCGTTCCTCGTATAATTGATCGCTTCGTAATACGTTCTCGTTGAATTTCGAGGGATTCTTCCATTCTTCGATTATACTCTTGCTAAATCTCCTTACGTCGTTAAGTCTAGACAAATCTGTCGCAACTTTCGTATTCTTAGTGTCGACTGATGATTTACCCTCACTGCCCTCTAGCCACCTTCATGATTTAACGCCGAACGTGGTTCCGGTTGCATGCATCCGGTTCTCGATTCCCAATCCTACGAACGATTGAACATCAATTTTTTCTTAGCAAACGACCATTTGAAAGGAGGAAATATTTCTTACCGAAATCGTGATCGCTTTCGCTAAACGGACTGAGAGTTTGAGTAGATGTAAACGTCGATGCCTGAGACTTGGCTCTCTTACTGCTTTTCGAACAGACGAAGAATGTGCTTAGAAGTGCGCCGACTTCCACGAAAATCACCGCAAGTCCGATCGTGAGCAGTATCAGTGCTTGCTCTTGGGTCCATTTCTCTAACATCTCCAAGCATCCCTGTAGAATATAGTTTTTCTGTATAATATCGTATCGGTTATTATTATTATTTTTTTTTTTTTTTAACACTAGAACGAATACGCCTTTAATACGTTTATAAATAATTGTAACTTAAATGATGATAATTAAAATCTATACAATCGTGTTTCTGTCTAAACAGAAATCAATATTAATTTCGACAAAAATATCTTTTAAACAATTGCTAGAAAAGGAAATTTGACATCCGCCATAATGACGAGTCAGATGTTAAAAAATATAAAACGTAGGAAGAATAAATAGATAACAGATAAAACATAGAAATTGGAGGAATATTGGAGATAAATATGTAATGTATAAATATAGATCGAAATGAGTACGGTCTTTCACACAGGTGTTCTTTTATAAGTGGTCTACATACAGAGATAATGTCATCATATACGTTGTAGCGTTAACATGCTATGACATTTCAATCTGTATTCAGTTTCTGCGCAGCCCCGCGATATTTAATACGCGACGCGGGCGAAAGATAAGGAAACTTTCTCGCATAATGCGTCAACTTCGCTTTTTCCATCGAGTTTTACCGACGGACGCGTCCGTTTTCAGATACGATACAGATTGAACGATACATCAACACCGCGCTTTTACGCAACCCGCATCCGACTGAATTTCCCTTAGGCTGTGACATTTGCATGCGGGTCATTATTGAACGTGTGCGTGTGCGACAAAGAGAATCTGCTCCTCCTTTTCATTTCGCCTCGATTCTCTGTTCGTCGAAGCGACAAAGTTATCGTGAAAATTTGCAGAGAAAATAATAACGGTTACACTGCGACTGTAACAGGAGTGTATTCAAAATTTCGTTCGTTTTTTCTTTTTTTTTTTTTAAATTGAAAATGAAGATAAATATTTGAAGTATCAAACGAGTACGATAGATCTTGAAAGATGTAAATGATAAAAATCAATGTTGTTCTTTTAAATAATTACATCTTTGCTCTTCGTCGTTGCCGATGAAAAATTGAAAAAATTTCCTGCAATTATTTAAATCACTAAGACTGACATTTCGTGTTCACATGTTGCGAGAAAGTGAATTATTTAACATAATTTATCATCTCTAAGGTACTGTCTCATCCATAAACATGTTGACAAAGCATTCACCACCCCGCCTGCCCTTCCTTCCACCGACTGACAACTTCTAGCAATTACAATTACAATTCCACATTATCATATCAATGAACCTGTCACTCGTCCACGCTGTTCACGCCCGATTCCATTCGCACGATCAACAACATCCTGATTAACAATACGTACGTACCGTGGTATGGCGGGCGTATTGATGTTCGGCAGGATTCAAAGCCTGGCAGAGAGTAAGATTGGCAGGCTCGGGGTTGAGGAAAGAGTCGGTCTGGTTTACGTTATTCAGGGTGCAGCAGCTGAGAGGTACCACTAATTCTCGTCGGCCGACTTCCTGCAGTCGCCACCAGGAGGTTCCGTAATTGCTGCTTCCGTTTATGCCGCAGCAAGCAAACTGAAAAGATCCGCGCGGTTTCACATCGAAAGGTGTGTACGTGTAATTGCCTTTTGCCAGTCGATCGATCGAACGATAATGAGCTTTGGCGAATCGGAGCAAACACTCGTGAGTTTGAATCGATCGACGATCGTGTGTACCGAGGCTGTCTCTGTTGACTCGTTACGAAACGCTTTGCTCACGGGAATACGGTTGCGTATGAAAGTATCGGGATAGATATTTGAAATTTCATTAAATGAGCGGTGCAATGAGACTTGATTATCATGCGCAAATGAACTAAATTCATTTTCCTTCATTAATCTATCCACTTCGGTAGTTCAATAACAACGACGGGACATCGTTCTTCCAAGGTTCTTCAATATTTCAAATGAAACCTTGCTTCTTCAAAGAAGAAAGATATTGCAAGAGAATGGGATAAATAACTGTAAATTTCAAATACTCTCGTGAGCTATTGTACACAGAAACGTACCGCTGTTTGTGCGAGATCAAGGGCTGCTGTGAATTGTTCTCGACCAGGAACGGCATAGCTACGTTGCAAGGCTCGTATCAATCGTGCTGGTCTGACATCGATGCCGAGTACGTGAGGCCAGAACACTACCAGAACGCACACAGTGCATTCGCCAAGTAACAGCAGAATTATCGTGATGAGATACTGAAAATGTACGAAGTGAAAATGTAATGAGCGAAGTAATTAAAAAGCTGAAGCACAGAGTAAAGAGTACCACCAGCAAGGATATGAAACAAAAAGTAATGAATAAAATAATATCTGAGTGATTTACTGGTTATTGAATGTTTAAGTTCATTTAGTTGTATCTTTGCGGTATATGGAACGAAATAATTATGATCATACCGCGCTACCATGTGCTACAAATGTTTACATACCATATGAAGTTAATTGACTCGTCATAATAATGTATTATATCTGTATGATTAATTGTTATAATTCATCATAATTGTTGAATCATCGGGTTAATTATGCGACACATTATATGAAAAAGTGATTTAATGAAATTATGATATTGTACTTTTGGAAAGTACAATGCTTATTTACTTCAATTTGCAAGCAATATTCTTTTAACCATTTGAAACGGTACGGTTGCTTGATAAATTACTGTAATACACTTCACCTACTTTAATCCTTCAGAGAGGAAAAGGTACGTTTGTCAGGGGAATGTCAAGAACACCGATATGTAACATATTTATAGTATTTGTTAATCGATTCGCTGGTATTAAATAATCATAAACTTTATTCTGTTCGTTGAAGCGTAAGTTGTATCAACGTGAGTTCAAATTCAAATTCGTAACCGCGATCATAGGAAATCATATAAACTCACAGTTGTATGAAAATGCTTTTGTAACCTCGACGTAAATTATTAAAAGCTACAAATTTGCAAGTCAAGCTCAACAAAAAAAATAGGCATTGTTAAAAATAACAATATGTATCTCTCATCAGCACTGTTCACGAGCGAAACGCGAGAAGGATACCTCGTTCGTTGACTCAGACGGTCACACCTTTTACTTGCATCTTGCAAACAGACTGTTACTAATAATCAACTGGATCTCCGCGCATTCACAGCTAACCGACAGCTGTCCATAAGTTTTACATCGTCACTTATCTGAATTTTTCATTTCTACCATGAACATTTAATGCGATTGTATTGAATTACCACTCGTCTAATAAGCTGCATGCTGAAAAATAATTGCTGTTTTTAAACGATACGCGTACTCGCCCTCCTTCCGTGAGCACGCGTGTCTGGATTTATGTAGATCTGTTTCCGGGCAGCGGCGCGTGACCATAGCCCACCAAAGCGGGAAATCTGGTTTCGGTTTAGTCTGCCGAGCGGACTCCGCAACGAAGAAGCGCGTGAATCGTCCAGACTCTAGAGTCCAGACCTTGACTTTTACGCGATTAAAATGCGTGGCTGCTTTAGAAGCGAGTTCAGGCTGTAACGCGGCATAATATAGCCAATAGCTGCAGAAACAGCTACACATGTCGTTTCGCTCGAAATCTTTTGACGATTTCTATACGAATTTGATTCTGTTACATGTATATCCAAATTTTTAAAATTTCTAGAGCTATCGTCAGCTAATCATTTAACGTTAAAACATTTAATGCGAATGGCGCTTGAAAGTATTATTAAGAGTATTGTAGCGTACAAAAGAAAAATTGTTGGATTCTTACTGAAACTGTAACGCAACGATTATAGAGACAAGTTGCCCAGCATCCTAGCAGACCCGTGAGCGTGATCAGAAATCCGAGTCCAACGATTGCAAATGCCATGTAATAAAAAAGTGGTTGGTCGGGGTGTATATCTCCTGGTCCCAATAAACGCGACAATAGGATACGCTCGTCATCGGCTAATAGCAAAGCTCCTAATGACATGAACGTGAAACCTGATATCTGGAAATGAAAGCAGTATCTTTAAAACAGAGCCTTAATAAATTCTTAATTCGAAAAATTCCCGTTTATTCTTTATGACGAAAGAAGACTATATAGAAAAAAACTGTTGCTTTATTTGTCTTACAATAGCAATCCAAAAAATGAACTTATACGTGGCTTTCCACAACTTACCAGGAAAACGACGTTCGAGCAACACACGAAAATTCGCGATACACCAAAGTTTTTCCTCTCCATTTTAATTCACCAAATCTTCCTCTGCATTAACGCGTACGCGGCAGCAGCAACAACAACTCGTCACGTCAATTCCTCACGATGACACTCCATTAATAGTCACGATAAATAAGAAATTCATTTCGATTATTCTTCTTCTGATGATCGTATCACTGATGATTGCCCCCTTTTCTTTTTTTCTCTTTGGTTTCGACGCGTACTTGCCCGCGTTAACTCGAAGACTGAAAAGCCGCCGCGTGATAGATGATTCCACAGTGCCGTACGAATACTGGCATCTGTAGATGCGCTTGCGTTACGCGCCCTCATGCGCGACCGACCGGATGGAACCGGAAGGAAATAGAAAGGAATGAAACAAAAACAGACACGCAGGAGGGGGTGAAATGTCCATATGCATGTAGTTATGTGATTGTTGTAGATATAACTGGTATATGTGTCCAACTTCACACAGGGGGAGCTACCGCTAATCGGTATAATCGTCACGGATGAGTAATACTCGACTTGCTTATTTCCGTTCACGTTCGTGAAAATTGCAATTGGTACGTTAGGTAGTTCGTGAAACATGAGACCTGAGAATACAAAAATTAGTGATAATATTTAACTACGACAATACGATATAGATTTTGTGAATAATTGTAATTGAGATGCATTATTTTATTCATTTTGTTTAAGAAAAAGTAAATAAAAAATTAAATATTTTTGGTATAATTGAATTACGATTTAATCACGAAATATATTTCAAAGAAGTCGTTTTAGGTGATTGTGATTAAACGTTGTAATGTCAATATTTTTAATATTTATAGTAAAAATTACTTATAATTTGATACTATAGAGTAGGTAAACGCGTTATGCGTATTATTGTGTGTCCACGAAGCCTATCTCCGCTCGTCTACATTAATTCACGGCGTTCTATACACTTCTAATTCAAATATTACATATTACGTTCGTATGTAGGTTATTTACTGCTAACTTTTATCAGCGAGAAAATTATTTTTATGAGGAAACATAAAAATAATTAGGTTTTAATGTTACTTAAAAAATATATTGTTACAAGCATTATATTTGTTTAAAAATCTAACAAGTTCTTATCTGGTAGACTAGAACATCCAAATTGAGGTATCGTCTCATCTTGTTCTCTTTGAATAGTATCGCTTAATTCAGGTGGTAAATGTAAAACCTAAAATAAAAACATACGTATATTCAACCAAATTTTAATTTAATTTAAATTAATTGAATAACTTATGAAGTTTACCTCAATAACAAATTTCTTGCGACGTAATTTGAACACAAGATCTCGCGATTCCGGATTATGAGGTGCTATAGTATTTAAAGCTAGCATCTTCCGAAGATGCAGTAAACCATGATAATCTTTAAATAATGGATTTGTCTCTTTCTGTGAGCCTGCAAATGATTCCAGTCTAACTGCGACATCTGATATGTGCTCAATTCGTTGTGCAATAATATTCTAAAAATTAATGATAAAGAAATTTACATGAAGAAATTTAAAGAACAAAGAACATAAATGTGAAACGTACTGAATTATCAAAACATTGTGTAGGTACTGTTATCACTCCAACTGCATAAGAATATCTTAAAAGTGCTCTAAAGTAATATAAAAATTTTAACAAATCTTGGCACGAATCATCTTCAGAATCACTGCACCATAATCTAGATCCTAAGCAGTGGATTGCGATTCTCAGAACTTGTCTTTTTGTAGGTGTCTCTGAGATCGAGTATTGTCCCTTCTTCAGAGTTTCTTGGATACATTTTAATAAATTTGAATATGTCGCATTGTTGAAGGAATTGTTCTTTTCTGGACAACTATCATCATACCATTGTGTTATATTTGCATTTTCAATTACTTCTTTTTCTATTTTTTTCGTAAGATCATAGAAATGACCAAAAACTTGTCCTCCAGTTGGAGAGGTATCAATTACTTTCATATTTTGATACCTCCAAGCAATTTTCATTTGTTCATCAGAATTGGAGGGTTGATTAATTGATGTTGTATCTGTTATAACAGCTGGTATATCTGACGCAAGCCGTGATGTTTTAACATCTTTAGATCCAATTAATAATGGTTGAGCTGTAGTTACACCTTCAGCCATAAAATATTGTAACATGATTTTCGCATATGTACCATACTCGTCTTCCTCTGAAAATTTAATTTTAATCATTCTATACATTTTAATTTAGTATATTTATTACATACCAATAAGAAACAAAGAGCCAAGAGGTAATCCGCCACCTATAACAATAAATTAAAATATGATAATATAAAATAAAACAAAAATTGTTTTACTGCAATATAACTCTAACCTATTATATGATCTAAAGAAGGAATTCCAGTTGAAATAAGTAATTGTGAATTTTTTATTGAAGGTTTAGTTCCTGGTATAAAGGGAATTCTATTACCCTTTGCTGTACTTAAATCCATTTTTCAAATCACTGTTTACAATATATTTTGATTCACATATAATGACACTCCTTGTTTGCATTTAGAGGTTATATTCATACATATAGATTAAATTTGATATATTATTAAAATATAATATACGACATTTATAAAACAATAAAATCATCGAAACATATACAATTATCTTATAAAAATCTAAAAATTTATAACAATTAGTATATTTATAACAATTTATCAATCGAAGCAGAAATTTTTATTACGGCAAATAGGCGGAAGATGGCAACACATGCAGCTGGTTTACAGTCGATAGCTGACGCCTTTCATAGTTTGTAATTCTTCAGCTAGGAAGCCGAATATTTTCAGTTATAATTTAGCGATTATGTTTATCATACATAGCTTTTTGCATAAAAAGTAGATTTCTGTTTAAACTATACTACTTATCCTTCAATTTACAACTTTATTAAGCATTTTGGAAGCATTTATATAACGTGTATAATTGTTTAATCGTACGTACATCATTAATTTATTGTAAAATGTTTACAACAAACAGACTAATTTATTTTGATCTCTAATACATTTAAAAAAATATTGAGTAAGTAACAGAGACATTGTCAAATTGTATAAAATAATTTTCAGGAGTTATGCATCACTTTTCGAAAAGACTTAACGGCAGACTACGGAAACGCGTCCCTGCGTTAAAGATAGGGGGAGCCCATAGAAGGGAAATGAAATACGTCAGCCGAAGAGGAAGAAAGAGGGACGTAGTCTACGAAGGAGATAGAAGAGGAGCAAAGAGAACGCGTGAGTAACCAGTCTCGTACACGTTAGATTCAAAGCTGTAGCACAGGCAGTTGTGCACAGGCACGGTATAGAGGTATCCGACCAACAGTGAAGAACCCCTCCCTGATACTATATCCCGTCTTTCTCTCCCACTGGTGTATTCTGTTCGACCATCTCGCTCCTACTTCTCCTACCATTTCCCCTACCAACGATGTGTTTTCTTTTTCCAGCGTACTCGTGCAAATCTATCGATCTTTCACTCGCTCCGCCGGTCGTCTCTTTTCTTTCCACGGACAAGCCGGAGCACGCTGCCCTCGCTCAACTACCTGTTGTGACGTCCAACGTGCACTCGGCGACGCACCGGGACAATCGAGAGATTCAGCGCACGCGGCATGCGCTGCTGTTTTCCGTATATACTGTGTGTACCTTTCCTCACGGTCGGTAGGACGCTCGTGCATCGGCCACCGCACGCAAGGAAGTCTTTCATTGGTAAAGCGTGTGTCTGATCTACAAACCGAAGCTGATATTAACTCGCGAAAGACTTGCCGCGCACTTCCACTACGCTCTCGCTTTCCGTCTCTCGCGTAGACGCGCGACTCGTAACGCGACGCGACACCACGAACGAGGCAAAAGAGACGGAGAAAGAAAAAGGAAGGAAGAACATTAGAGTGAAGCTCTTATTGATAAGTTGGAGTTGGACTTTAACGACTAAAGAGGGCATTGGAAACATATTTTTGAATGTATACAAGAGACAATACATATTGGTTTTCCTATTGCTTCGCACGTCAACTCTTATCGATTATCACTTTGGTAAATCGTAACTGTTTCTGTTAATTTGCATATTTTTTTAGTGAACTATAAAATAGGGTAATTTGTATCCTATTAATCTTGTTTTTTTTTTTTTTTTTTTTTTTTTTTTTTTTTTTTTTTTTTTGGAAAGAGTGTGTTAATTCAATTCTGTTTTAATTTTTTATATCCAATAACTAAAATATTCATAGCCCTGTACGTATTTATTTTATGCCGAAGGAAGAAAATGAACATTTATTTCAAATACGTTGATTGTAAATTTATATCACGTAACTTTATATTTTAACTTTACTAAATTTCTGAAAATTCTTTGTTAAAAGACATTTGTCACAAAAGAGAGCAACATATCCGTGACAGAAAACATAATTTTCGTAATCGATAAACGTTCATTATTTACACCGAACAGAATCTAAGAAAGTATGACTTTCATACGTGGCGCCAACTATGCTTAGTTGCAAAGATCACTATCAGATGGCGTGGCAATTTGGGCGCCTCTTGTATAAACGGAGTTTCCAGGCCCTGAACTTAGTCGCGCGCGGTGAACGTTCCGTCCTACTGTCGAATCTTCGCGCGCGTCTCGTCAAGAGTGACAGTTCGAAAACTTAACTTTTAACACAAGGTGACTAACTTCATTTGTAACGTGTCGTTTGGATCGTCGTTCTCGCGATTGTTCGCTGAGTTGAAACAGAGATTGACGAAGGACTGTAAGTGGGTATCGAACGACAATATCAACGAGGATTTATATATATGTCGTGTGTTTTATCGTGCGTGCCGGCCGTGCACGCTTGTACTCTGTTGTATTTTGTGTACGTACTGTCGAGGATTGAGTGAAATCTAGTGGAAACGATCGGACAATCGACGCGAAGTTCAGTGCATCGTTGAAAAAATAATCGGCTGGCAGAGAGGACAGGAGGAAGTTGAATCGCGCGGTGCAGCGGTGTCGAGGCGCGAACGACGCGACGATACATATATTCCAAATGCGTCTTGACCGGAAGTTGAGGATCGTCGCATTGGCAGGGTGGCAGAGGATGCCCGGCTGGAGGGCAGCGGCGGGAGACGAGGTCGTAGCAGTAGCAGTAGCGTGCGTCAGGCGCTTCGGTAGCAGAGGTTCTCACTGAGCTGGCTTACTCTGCGGTGGATTTAGGGGGCTGTATGGAGGCCGGGGGGCTCCTGCCCCGCCAGCCCCCGCAAGGCCCCCCCGGCACCGCGCCTGGCCCGATTTCGGTCTGCGTGGGCCAGGCTCCTAACACCAACGCTAATAACGCCAACAACGTAAACAATCTGCAGAATACCGTTCTGGCCCAATCGGCCGGGATTCACGATTTAAACGCGGCCGGCCAGTTGAACATAACGAGCCAGCAGCTGCAGTTGCAGCAACAAATGGGTCAAGCACCTGGTATGGGTGAGGTACTCACCCCCAAGAGACAGGCGGTCGTCGATCGTCTCCGGCGTAGGATCGAAAGTTATCGGCGTAGACAGACCGATTGTATACCGAGATTCGACCAGAGCTTCAACGGCCTGTGCGAGCAAAATATTCAGGACACGCTGGTGCTGAAGCAACGATTCCTCGAGAGCAAGGCGAAACGACAGGCGAAGAAAACGGACAAGAAGCAAAGTGAGCCGGTCGGTCTCTCCAGCGTTCACGTGGTGAGTCACATTTACTCTACTTGTTGGCTTTCGTTCCGAGTTCCTTCCTCGTCGCGGTGTCGCGCACGCTTACACAAACCAGTGTAGCTGCTCGCGCTGGCGCGCGCGTGTGCACGCGCGCGCTCGCACGTACATGCTGGTCTTCAACCTTCTTCTTTTTTCTTCTTCTTCTTTCTCCAAACTTCTTGTTGCGACTTCTTCTCTTTCGCGCACGCGACCTTGTTATTTCGTGCACTCGCTACCGTCCGCCAATGGAAAAAAGATTAATGACGCATCGCGTACGCGATGACAACGGACGACGGACCGTATCGTTGTTTGCTATTGTGTTTGCCCGCCCGGAACGATTCGAGTTCCACTCGAAACATCGCGATAATCGGCCGTTAACGTTCGTCGTAAATTGTCGATGATGTATGTTACAAATTTTCTCGTCGAAAATGAAACAGGCTCAGGGAGGGTGGGGGTATTTACGACCGAGAAAGCCCTCTTCTTCTTCTTCCTTTCTTTTTATCGACGATATCGTAAAATCCACGTGTAGGCGCGGACGTGCGCGCACATGATTCAGAAACGGCGAGGGTCACGCGATTGAGAACATCTAAACTGTGTAGTATACATATAGCGAGTAAGCGGCACTCGGCAACTTGCCGGGTCAAGATTCTACTACACAGGTTCGGAATCGAAGCGCGGGCGTAATGAAATACCACGCTCTTTACACCTATCTACCGAGTTTCATTTACAAATCGCTCGATGGACTGTTGTTGCGCGCTGATAACAATAATCCCCCCTCAACGTTTCCCCCGCTGAAATTTCGAAATATTTCCTGGCAATTTGACAGATATTTCTGACAGTTCACGGTTTTAAGGTCGCATAGTTGTTTTAGTAATATACGGTAGCTATAGCTAAGCTAAGAATACTGACGAAATCTATGTAGAAATAAAGTTGCTGTTATTGTTTATATTAAGCAAATTTTTTATGTGATACGATATAATACCTGTTGATGCACAAATAGAAGCCGATCCTGGAGTACGCTCGTGTTAGAAAACATTCAATTTACTGTAGATTGCTGCTATTGTTCTATATGAGGTTTCGAACACATGAGTCATCCAATTAAGCGCATAATTTAACAATTACGTGTAGCGCGTCCAGTCGTATGCAAATGCCAATCGTACATGAAATTCAATTCATTCTTATCTATATTTTCCATCGTGTAGGGCCAATAGATTAATTCGAATAATTCGGTATTTATAAATTATAGAAATATCTTTCTACCATGCTCGATTCTTCATAAAATTATTAATTAAAAACAAACGGAAAAAGAAAAAAAAAAGGAAAAAAAAGGATTCGAAACTTTCATCTAGAATGTTTGATATGTAATCTTAAAGTTTTATTATTGCAGAATGTATAGTTTTTTCAATTATTAATTTCTGGAAACGAAAGATTTTGTTAAGAAATAAATCACGCATAATCTTGGTATTTAGTTTCCTTTCTCTCAATTTCGAGGCATTATTCGAACATTTAATCATCTCGGAAATATAGGTCAACTTGGGAAGCATCCGATAAAAAAAAGTAGATGTTGCAAGCTACGTCTTGCGAAGTACGATACAACGCCTACGACAAGCGTTAAAATCCAATATTTTCTAAAGCCCGGACATTTGACGACTTTAGAGAAATATCATCCCCTTCCTTTCAGATCGTTTTTCACATTGAAAAATGAGCGCTTAGTTGCTTCGCGAATATTCGATGAAATGACAATAATAAATTTTACAAGATACGGTTTATAAAGTGCAACTGGAAATATTGCCTATCCCGTATCGATAAAACCTGACCTTTCTTCAGCTGCTTTTTCCAACGTTGCGTGGGTGTTTTAAACAACGAGTGTGTTTTAAAACGGATCCTTTAAAAGTACGAGAACTTCTTTTACTGTAAAACGTTAAATCGTTCTATTCCCGTACGATTGACGCAACGGGTATCAATTCCCCGCTGTTGCTCTCTACCAGATTATTTTTTAAATTAGAACTCGTCAATAATAACGAGTAAACAGAAATATTACAAAGGATATATATTTAACATTTTTTTTTTTTTTTTTTTGAAGTCTATCTTATATAAAAGTGGAGTATAAAGTCTCGGACGAACCTCCCACTTTGATTCCTGGAAAGAGATTTATCTCCAGATCACGTGGCGCAATGTAATTCGTAGATATGCAAGTACTTATCTGTACGAATGGTAGCAACGCTACAAACTGTTGGTTTATTCAATTTTTCACGAGAAAACGGCCATCTATCTCCATGGCACCCTTTATCGCCATGGCAATGTCGGTCGTTCGCGTCGTTAGAGAAGCGATTCGAAACAGGTGGATGTGCATCGAGGTATCGTTAAGTCGTGTGGGCTCTCTGCCTACGTTGCTTACCTGTAGGCGTTCGATTCGAGACGTCCCATATTAACCTTGGATTTACGTCAATGCAGGGGCGTTTTACGCCGCGCCGGCACGGTGCAACGTCATTGTCACGAACTTATACGCGATGCGTTTATGCCGACCTTCGTTGCAACTTGCTGACAACTTTCCCCCCTGCAACAAAGCATAAATGTCCTTTCTATGTTCCTTTCCTTTCCTTTTTTTCAACTCTTAAACTTCTTACCAAAGACTGAAAACCGAAATATTTTGAGGTTTATACGTATTATACGTATTTTATCGGTATTTGATGTCCACAACAGTAAAAATACCGAAATATATGCCGCTTTACTGACGAAAACACATTTTTCATTTTCTACGTACAGTGACTCTTATTAACACTCCGCCTACTGTGCCGGGATCACAGTTTTGACCTGTGCTGGAATTGTGTTAGGTATGGGAGTTGCTTGTTTAGTGATTGCATTATGCGGCTGTGTGCCATGTGTTCGCCAAATTGCCGAAGTGACGACGACTAAAGACGAAAAAAATCAGTTTCTGGTAACGTTCTGGGGAAAAAAGATCGCAAATCGAAACAATTTTTTATTTCAAAGTTTATTTTATATTTTAGTGTTTTTATTATTGTTTTAGTATTTTAGTATTTAGTATTTAATAGTTTGCATTATTTTTTTTTTAGTATTTTATACTATTTTTGTATTTAGTATTTAGTATTTTATATTATTTTTGTATTTACTATTTTTAGCACCATTTTAATATTTTACTATTTTTATTATTAATTAACTGTTTTTATTATTATTTTTGTTCTTTTTATTACTTTTTCCGTTGTTTCTATTTGTTGACGCAATGTCTTCGTTGCCAACGAGCAATCTTTCTTTGTCTTCTTTTGCTCAATCTGCACAAGACGTTCCTTACAGTGAATGGCATAAATATATAGGAAATATATATAACTTTATTATTCATGTGACTATTATTTGTTCCTCATATTCCTACATGTTCCTATATGAGTCGGGTGTCTGTCAATGTGTTGGTACAATAATGGTGAGGACTTTGGTCTTCAGCGACTGTACAGTACACCCTGTACAGCATCAGTGAGCCGTCCGGACAACCCTATATATATCCGTGTGGGTTAAAATGACCCCGGCACAGGACGCTGAGGTTCAGTAGGAGGGTTAATATTCTGACATCATACTATTCAAAATATTGTTGTGGATTTCGATTGTTTGTAATAGTAAATTTGTATTAATTTTTTAATAATATAATAGAACATTCATTACAGTAACATTATAGTAACATAAATTTTATTTATTTATTGCACATACTTTTCTTAATATCAAACAATAAACTGAACTATGTCGAGTGGCAAAAATATTCGGACATTTGAGGAACTACAATATTTGAACCTGAAAATTGTTAACATAAACAATAATTAATATTTTGTTAGGTAGCCCTTAACTTCAATAATATATCGCAGACGCTTAGGCATATTTCCAGTAATTTTTTTTAAGTAATTTAGCAGAATATTTTTCCATTCTACGATTAATCGTTGTTTTAATTCCCTCTTCTATTTATTGACGTACGACAATTAGTCATTTTTCACCAGAGAAAAAGGAAAAACGTATCGAGAAATCGGTCATCTTTTAAAATTAACTAAGAGTATCGTGGCTGATATTGTATGGAGATACAACGATGAATTACTATTAGATATAACAAAGGATACGCGTCATCAAATTTATTATCGGCAGCTTTATGAAAACATTTAGTCATTGTCTCCTTTTCCTTTTCTAATATATTAATATTTTATTTACCGGTATTATACCGGTATTATACCGGTATTATACATCTACCGACCTAACATCGTTTTGGTAGCATCATATCGGTATTTGCACCATTTTGGTTTCATCGAACGTAATCGAATAGTAATCTAAAAATAATGGTATTTTACCGGTATCTGTAATACCGATTCGGTCTCTGCTTCTTACACCCACTTCTTTCTTCTGTCACCAGAGTAATGCTATCCTGTCATGATACTTTGTACTGGAAGTAGGAAACGGAGCGATCGTTGCGTAGCGCGCTGTTTTAATTATAAACTAGTGTCGCAACTCGGGATTTTATCTGCTGTTAATACCCGATCTCGATGGAAGTGATATTACGGCAGAAAAAATCATAATTCTTTGGGAGATTTAATTTTCAAGTTAGTAGAACTCTAATTAGTTGATCGCCGAGAGCAAATCGAGCATTTGCAGGGTTCACGGCAATCACGGCTTGTTCTTTAGATGTCCGGTTTTTTTTTTTTTTTTTTTTTTTTTTTTTTTTGTTTTTTTTTTTTTTTTTTTTTTTTTTTTTTTTTTTTTTTTTTTTAATGGTTTTGTTTTTTATTCTTCTGTTTTTACGCTTTTGTATTTTATTCTTTTCGCGAAGTTTATGGATATGCTTCTCAGTGTTGGCTCGTCAAATTAGAAGCATTAAAAGCTTAAACCATTTAGGGAATTTATAACAAGATCCCTAAATCTCAGTCAAAACAGTTTTGTTTAAAATGTTTCCCAATATATCACAACGTATTTTTACGTAAATGAAATAGTTGTGACTTCTTCAAAATAATTTAACAATTTACTATGTTATTATTACATTGTCATTTGATAATTTAATTCTTTTGATTTAAAAATTAAATACTATCTTCTTTTCTATCGTTGAAAATTTAAAATTAAGATCGCGATCCATACGTGTGTCGCGACGATCAACGTGCTAAAGTATAAAATGAACGTCGAAGGGTCGAATTTGAATTTCGATCGATGCTACCTGCGCTACTTGTGTTATTTGTGCAACGTTGAGACATTGCCCGAGTGCTTGATTTACTGACAATCCATTATCACTATCTAATGGTTAATCGCATATTAATGTTGGAGGTAACATCTCGTTAGTTGAATAGGTACGATACTGGTGATAAATCTTGGTTGATTCGGTTATCTTACCTTGAGATTTGTGCGTTTCAGTTTCGAGTAAATAAATTTTGAATTTTAATCATTCTCGCGTATTACGCTATATTTATTACTCAAATATGAATCTCTCTCTCTCTCTCTCTCTCTCTCTCTCTCTCTCTCTCTC